TATATAAAAAAGCTGAACAGAATTGAAACTGCACTCTCCTCTACTGTATCTTTTAGTTTTTAGAAAATGCTTCCAATGGGTCTCATCGTCTAGAATGATGAAATGTTTTTAAAGCTGCAGTGAAACCAGGGCAATAAGTTTAGAGCCATAATTTCTTGAAAGAGAGTGATGAAAAATCATGGCTTATCTCTGATCCTCCCTACTGAGATCACAGCTTGGACGCTGAGCTTAGTTTTACGCACCTTATGTTCTAGGTAACTGGAAGATGATTGCAAAAGATGGCACTAAGAAGGATTAAGTGTGATTATTTATGAGGCATAGTTAAAAGGAGACAGCATGCATATGTTCACTAGCTATAGGGAATAGACAGACCTCTAAAGATCTGATGAACAAATCTACCCAAGGAATATGTTTAACACAGAACAACAAAGGGAGAAATAAAATGAGAAAATAACAAAGACAGGTGAAAAATTTAGAAAATTTTTAGCACATCCTAAGATGGCTAAACCAGAATTCTCCAGTGGTAGCCAAAGAGCTTAATGTCACAGGTTGGGAAGTGTGTGAAGCAGACAAATGCATTTGGCTTCGACTGAGTTTCCCAAGCTTTCTATACTTTGTATTGCAAAAACAATGCATTGTTTTTCCTTTTTCTAGTATAATATTTTCATATTAGATATTATTTTTTTCAAATAAATCCTGAATTTTAATAAATTACAAATAAATTAAAGATCCTTGTTTGAAGGTCTGGATTATGACCTATAACATATGGCTAAGATGAATTATGCAAAGGGTTGAACTCTTTGACCTCTACAGCCTTTTTAGTTTTGAAATTCTGTTTCCATGGTAAAGATTTCCTTGTAGGCCCTGTGTGCTTGAAAAGGATGCTGTTGGAAGTATTTGACTAAAGCCAAAGAACATTATATGACTCCCAGTTTTTCTACACACAAGGACGGCCCCATGCTTCATGATAATGGCAGGTTATTGTATAATTATCAGTGCCTCTTACCTTTATGATTTAGTTGAATGATATAAGTGGTATAAATGTCAGGCTCTTCTAGTACTGACCCTATTTGCTTTTTGTAGCCATAATATCGTCATTCATTGACCACCTATTTATTGAGTGCCTACTACTGAATAATACAAAAACAAAGTTCTTTTTTTTTTCTTTGAGACGGAGTCTCGCTGTGTCACTCAGGCTGGAGTACAGTGGTGCAATCTCGGCTCACTGGAGCCTTCGCCTCCCAGGGACTCAAGTGATTCCCTGCCTCAGCCTCCTGAGTAGCTGAGATTACAGGTATGAGCCACCATGCCCAGCTAATTTTTGTATTTTTAGTAGAGATGGGGTTTCACCATGTTGGCTAGGCTGGTCTAGAACTACTGACCTCAAGTCATCTGCCCACCTCGGCCTCCCAAAGTGCTGGGATTACAGGCGTGAGCTACTGTGCCCTGCCTGAAAACAAAGTTCTTACCTTCATAGAGTTTACCTTTTGTTTGGAGAAGACAGATGATAGGGACAAATAAATGAGGACTATAATTTCAAATAAAGATACTTACTATGAAGAAGTGCTATAATGGCACAATCCACAGAGTTCTTTCACAAAATTGTCTTCTGCGTCTAAAAGTCACCCAGATCTTGATGCTACTTTCTTAAAATATCCCAGGCCTTTACTCATGTTTCAAGATCATAAAATGAAAAACACCATGTTTTCAGCGTGTTTCTTTAAATCTCCTTTTCCTCTTTTCTGAATCTTCGTTTTCCCTGCTGTACAACACTCCAAAGCTCCCAAAGCATCCTCCTTAAATGCCCAGAGAGTTCCTATTCCCCAGGTAAATGAAGCTTTTGCTATTGTTTGGTTTGTATGTCTTAGTGATGATTTAGAAAGTACAATCTATCTTAATTGCTCTTGAGTGATACAAGGTGGTAGGCTGCTTGGGTTTTTGTATTTATCTACTTAGTTTCTGATTTATTCTTATTCTGTTAGTTTCAGTGACATGAACTTGTGGTAAACCAAAGCTACTGTAGCAGATATTATTGGTGCCCTGCCAGTATGTTATATTCCCTTACTTTTTCCACTCTGATTCTTAATTCTTCTATTCTCACTATTACCACTCTGATCCTTAATTCCTCTGTCTCTGGCTTTCTGTTGCAACTGAGGCAACTCTGTCCACTCTTGGAGCATGGCAGACAAGGCAGGGTCTCAATAACCCCTAAAAGCAGTCCCTAATCATTGACTGATGGTAGTTGGTGTTAACCCATTTCTCTTGTTCTCTTGGTGGAATCACTCAGCCTAAGGCACCTGTTCCACAATGTTTCCTAGAGATTCCTAGGAGGATTAAGTTCTGATTGCCCCTAGCACTAACGCACCAGATAAGGCATCTTTCTCGTCTTCTTTTCTCTATTTCACTTTCCTAGTCTCTTACTGGTGTTTCCTGCAATAACCTCCTAAATAAAATACTTGCTCTTGAATACCTGTCTCCAGATCTGCTCTGGGAGAACCCAGACAAAGGTGATCATTAATTCAGTCAAGTTGCAGATCAGACAATAACCTGCCACTGACTGTCTTGGCACTCAAAGGTCCTGAATCCAAGGCAAGTGCCATGTATTCATGCTCTTTGTGCATGTATCTGTTGCTGAAGGACACAGCTGACCTTGAGCCCAGCAGTCAGCATTATCCACAGCTGAAGTAATACCTATGTGCTCATATTCGGCTATCCGACAACAGTGTAATAATCATTAGACACCACTGTTTAGATCCAAAATATGTTCATGACATTTGCCTTTTGACTGCTAAGTAGAAAATGTCATGATTATAGGGTGATACTTTCTCAAGAGGAGGAAAGTTATTGAGCTTTCCGCTTTCATATGCTTCTGATTTTCTTCCACGTTTAGTCTGGCTGCTGGCTGACACGTGATGAAATCTCTCATGTCGATCAGCTTGAGAATAGCTGGGACTGCTGAGCTAAGTCTGTGCTCATAAAAGCAACAAAGAATTATTATATTACAGGAAATGACCCCAAATTGACAGAAGATTAGACTAGGAAGCCTCAACAGGGGTTTTAATCTCTATGCACAAAATTAGTCTGTATGCATATTGATCACATTCCTGCTGTTTTAACTATAATTTTTTTCAATTTTACTTTGTTATTCATAATTTGATAATATTTTATGTGGCCATGGTGTCTGTGTGATGACCTGTAATCCAGTGTGACATTCTCTGAGACTCAAGCTTCCAAGGACATCAGTATTTCACACCAGGACACTTTTTAGGACCTTGCTACTCTACATGAGATTCAAACATCAGAAATAATGAGAGATCTAAGACTTGATATAATCGCTTGCAGGTAATGAATTAGGCCAAAGAAGAAAGTGAGAGACAGAGAAAGAAAGGAAATGGTGCTAAGGAAAATGAGGATGTATCTTAGTATTGAGATAATCTAGCCTGGCTCTGGTGACTCCATTTTAAGCAATCCTGTTGACTCCATTTTGACCACTCTGAGCTATGTAGGGCACTCTGTTCCTGAAACTTTGTAGCCTGAGGCACCTGGTATTTTGTAACCTATTTCTGAGAAACAGGGCCCACTGACCCATGCAACCTGTATCTGCAGCTGTGTAACTGTCTACTCCACATCTTGCTTGACAAACAACTTTAAATAAAATCTTTGTTGCTAGGTCCCCTTCCCCTAACCTGCTCTTTCAGCTTCTGTAACAATTTGCTTTCCGCCTCCTAACCCATGAAAATGTATAAAAATGTTGATGTTGACTGTCTTTTGTTTGGGGCGGAGAGGGTTGAGCAACAGCGGATTCTCAGACGCCGGCATTAAACGGACTCTCAACAAACTCAGAGTGTGACTCTTCTGTTTTAATCTCGTTTTGGTTTAACAGTGTTTGTCCGAGAGTGACTGCTCTGTTTCTCCTGGTGTAATGGCAAGAGTCTGCAGCCAGGAATCTAGTCCCTGCTTAGGAGCTGCATGACTTTGTGAAAATTATTTAGGTGTTCTGCAATTTGTAATTGCATTTATTGCAAAATTAAGTTTACTTTTCATACGTCACTAGACCCAGAGCATTTTGAGGTTAGGAATTGGGTCTGAATCAATAATTTCTCCAGCACCCATATGGCATCTGGCACAGAATACATCAATGATGATTTTGGATTAAAAAGGGGAGCAAGCGCAAGGAACCGTGGTGGTCAGAGACAAGTTGATGTGCACCAGAGAAAGGCAGACCAGAGGAGAAAGGTCACTCTAGATTTCATTCAATTATCCAAAATATAGTGTATTTACTATGTGCTGGGGACTTTTCCACCCGCTAGAAAGACTACAGCGACCAAAACAAAAATCCTCATCTGCATGGATCTTGCATTCTATGTGAAAAAGATGAAAAGATAAATAAGTAAATTTTATACAATGCTTGGTAACGACAAGTGCTAAGGAAAAAAACAGCACAGTTAAAAAAGGCAGAACGGAAAAGGATGGGGCACTTGGGTGCAATTTTGTTAGGATGCCCGAGAGGGCTGAGCGTAGTCGTAAACGATCACAGCATTTGACGGATCAAGTGAGGGACTGCGAGTCTGTGTTTCTGAGAAGCTCATACAGAAAAGAAGGCTTAAGGAATCAAGAAAGATACAGAGTGGGGAAATGAAGTGAAAAGAAATCCAGCCAGTGGGGAGTCGTGAAGGGGTAAGTAAAGCGCGTTTTGGCAGGAAGGAAGAAAGCAAAAGTGCGGTACAGCCTTTCATTACACGTGAAAAGAATCATCTTTCTTTTTCTATTTAGAAAAAGCCAAAGATTGTGCAATTTACCCCAACCCCCGCCCCGCGCCCCCCGCCCCCTCGCGCCTAACTTCTCTCAGGTGGTCAGTGTTTCCCACACCTGAATCAGTGTTACAGCCACTATGGCTTTCAATTGGCTCTGTGCAGGCGCATGCTCTGCGCTTATTGGCCTCCGCTCCTGTCTCCAGACGAGCGGCCATCTTGGGTCCCGCCCCTACCGCGGGGTCTTTTGGGAATTGCAGTCCCTGCTCCGCTCTGTCCGGTCACTGGACTTTTTGCCCTCTGTTCCGGGGTCCCTCAGGCGGCCACCCAGTGGGCACAAGCCCAGGCGGCGCTCTGACCCCGCGCTTCTTCCCTCTGCCTTTCATTCCCAGCTGCCAACATCCTGGAAGGTAGGGGCGGGGGGGCAAGCCCAAGTGGAACCGTGTTTCTGGGGCTCCGGTGTGGGTTTCCACGCGCGTCAGGTCATCACCGCCGAACCCAGTGGGGCTGGCGCCGCTCACGGGGCCGTGGGCTTCTGTCCCGAGGACTCTTCCGCCCCACGAGCGTCTGAGGGTGGGAACTCGGGCTCCCCAATTCCCAAGCACTGGCCCTAGCCCTAACACCTTCCTCCTCCAACGTATTTATGCGTGGGGAAACTGAGGCACGAGGCCACGCCAGCGGGTCCAGGGACGTCCCAGTTCTTGGCCCTGTGGGTGTAGTCGGCACCGTCGTTTTTGGATGGTTCGTCAGTTTCATAGACAAGCAGCAAGAATCCGTCCCCGCAGGTTTGTGTCAAACACGCAGCTTGGGGTTCCCCTAAGAGGGTGCTGAACACGTGCCCAGGACGGGAGCAAACTGGAGTACAGAGAAGGCAGTATTTTGGGAGAGAATTTTACATTAGTGTTTCAAAAACAGACCAAATAGGCATCGATTCTGTTGTGGGAGAACTCATCAGTACTTGTTACACCTGTTTTATGGTTTGTTGTTTTTATTTTTACTGTCATAAGGGGGGATTTTAAAGGTATATCCACGTTGGGGGGTGGTGGGGGGAAGGAGGCAGGTTAGTGGAACTTGACATACGTCTGCAGTTTTCTCTGCAGGCTCAAATTCTACCCTTGCTGTGTTATCTTGGAACAGCCACTCGAAGCGCTGGTCTGGGAAACAAGGAGCTCAAGGATCCCGGCTCAGGTGGCCCAAGTTTGCTGCCTGAAGCCAAAATCTAAATTGAGGTCAGGCTTGTGAAAGCTTACCACTTGGAGATTTACTGCTATTACTATTCTGGTATCTCAGAAACGTGCTGGGACCAGTAGAAAATACTCCCAGTGGTTGTTTTTAGAAAGCTTCTGACCCGGGCTGGGCCCAGACTACCAACGGTTGTCTCTACTCGCACCTGTTGTTAAACCGGATCCACCTGAACCCTCCCTCCTTGGCTTCAGCTTGCGGTCGGAGGCCTGGGCAGCGGAGGCTTCTGGGAGTTGCAGTCCCGCCTCCTGTTTCTCGTCGGGCGAGTACTCCACCTCCCGGCGTGCCATTTTGCACGGCGAGATGTCTCCTGGGAGTTGAAGTCTCTCTTTCCTCTGTTCTGTAGTGCAGCGCCTTGACTCGCAACTACAACTCCCATGTGGCCGTGCGTTCATGGCTGCCGGCCTCTGTGTCCATCTGCTGCAACCTGGACTAGAGATGTTTAGTAAAGAAAGACGTCGTGTGTGTGTGTTATTGATTGCATATGCTGTTCTAAGTATTAGATACGGGATTGTTGTATATCGTGTTCCAAGTATTGGTAAATGTGCATGCTTCCAAAACCACTAACACTTGACCATTTAGAGCATGTTCACATGATCTCTTTTTAATACTAAATTTCCCATTTGTATATGATAAAAAATCTTGAGAAGATAGTCCATGATTACACAACTATCAATAAATATATATTCAATAAAATGTGTTATATTTTAATCCTCTAAAAAGCCATGTGAGAGTGAGAATCATTTTTATATCAATTTTACAGATTAGAAGACTAAGCCTAGGAAAGCTAAGTAACAAGCTAAAACACTGGTAAATAAAAGGACTGCGACTCTAAGCCCTTCTGCTTAACAGTCTCTGCTTAGAGAAAGACCCTACCTTACAGAGCTAAGGGGGAGTCCAACCTTTCTGGCTACAGAATTTGGAATATTTTCATTGTATCATGTTGCCTCTGTAGTTCCACAGTAAATGTTAGAGTTGCAAAAACCTTTGAGATAATTTAATTATAAAGCAACGACCTTGGAACACTTCTTGGCCTATAGTAAAGGTTCCACAAATGCTAGCTATATATAGTTTTATAATACCTTTATGTTAGAGATGAGGGAAGTGGCCCAGGTGGTAAAGCAGTTTGCCCAAGGTCACACAGTTGGTTTGTGTCAGAGATGAGACTACACCCGAGCATCTTATTTTCAAGTCCAGGGTCATTTTCATTCTACCAGTGGTTAGCTAGCAGGAACACCAGACGTGTAGCTCTTTAGATAATGGTTTCTCCTCTAATTTGTTCTTTCTAGGCCACAGACCAGGACCAGTTGTTGTAAAGTATCTTATTTATAATTGGTAAGGTTGTAATATTTCATGAATTCAACAAATGTTTTTTGAGCTTCTTTATATGGTCATCTCTCTTAAGGTGCAGGGACCACATAGATGATAAGGACTTAATGGGTTAGGTCTGGAACGACCTTATAAAGTATCTAGTCTAATTCTCATTTTATAAATGAGGAGAGTGAGGTACAAAGAGGTGTGCAGTCTTCATCTCATGCCCTCATGTCGAAAGCATCCTGTTTCTGCAAGAAGCAGGTTTCTGGACTCCTTATAGCAGTGTAGGTAACCCTTTCAGGTTTATGGTTTTCTATTTAGTATCCTTGTCTTAGCCTTTTTCCTGCAGCCTTTGATAGAATGCTCTAGGAAATGTTTTTGTGTCCCCATCTTTATTTGTGTATTCATGCAACTTCAACATGCTCTGTTTCTATTTTGGAAATTAGTCTGGTTTTGGCTCCCATTACTCTTTTCTCTTTTGTTCTTTCAGAGACTTGAGAACAAATTCTGGCACTATGTTTACATTCATATGTAAAAAACTGACCCTCTAATGTGAACTATCACAAATCTAACAAGTTGTAACTTTCATTTTAGAAGACATATTGGCCCTTTCAATTGTGTGTGCACATATAATAAGATAGGTAACTCTGGTCTCTTCTGTGTGAAAGATGATTTCCATAGAGTTAGGTAATAAAATAACAGTTTTATGAATTATTGGCTAAACAGTCTATTTGAAAAGTTCTCATCACCCCCATGGCCCCACCCTCACACTATCCCAACTGATAGTCTGATCATTCATCTTCCACCACAGTGCCTGACCACCAGTAGACACTGAAAAAGTACTTGTGGAATTGCATTCATAAACACCCCTGTTCCCACATCTCTTCGTTGAATCTGTTTACTCTTTGAATGTAGAAGTGTGGCTCTGAAATATTAGATGTAGGAGGTTACTTTGCTTTCAACATGTACATTGCAGAGAAAAATCTCAGCCTTTGAGATCATTCTCCAAGGGGTTGTGTCTTGGGGAATGTCCACATCTGTGACTTCTCAGATGAGAAAGTGATCTAAGTAGTAAGACATAGCAGAGAAGCAGTAGAGGGGTTGTCTGGGGGCCTATGATTTAATTCCCAGCTCTGCCTTTTAGACAGGTTACTTAGTTCTTGGTTTTCTCTCTGTGAAATAGGGATAATAAGCATTTCTACCTCACAGTGATGATGAAGAAGAAAGTGTGTTTAAAGCCTTGAGTATGTTGTCAGGCTCTTAACAGCTTGCAATCAATAGATAAATATAATAGCTCTTTTTTTGTTATTAATGTAAGCCTGATATATGAAAATTCACGTTTCCTCACGCTTTAAAACTTGAGGCAAGTATTTATATTATAAAAGGATTTGCCATTTGTTTTCTTAGAGTAGCGTGCTTCGTCATCACATTTAAAATATGAAGTTCCTCACAACTCTTGATAACCTGTCTTGGCAACACGGTGACACTCTACCGTATGGGCAGAGAGATAGTGAAGCTTTTGGCTTGGTACTGCCTACTGAGAGTTCCCTGATCTATGGTTCTACGTATATATTAAATCTTCGATTTAAAAGCAGCCTGTTTCTGTCAGTGAGGCCTTCTGTCCACCTCTAGAAAGGACTGGGCCTCTCCCAGGAGCCTCAGGGTTAGAGTGAGGCAGTTGTCATCCAGCTGGTGAGTGATCCTGGGGCGATGACCATGGGGACGTGGCAGTGCTTCTTTCTAAAGCTGACAACTTCAATAGCCATGAGGTTACTGATAAGGAGGTGAGTTATTGAAAAGAAGTGATGCAGAGAACAGGGAAGGAGAAACAGGAATGGGGATCACAGCAACAGCAGAGGTGACAGACAAGGGAAAAGTGGAGGCTCTCAGTATCCTACCCATGTTTTTATTCAGCACATTTATCTTTCTCCTAACTCTGTGCTAGGCACTTCATCTGCACTGGTGAGGGCAATAAATGGGGCTGGCAGGGAGGTAGTGATGCGGTGAGTGAGGGTATATTCTCAGCAGGGAAGAACCTAGTAGAAGGAAGGAAAGAAAAAAGGAAGGAAAGAAGGAAGGAAGAAAGGAAGGAAGTAAGGGTGGGTTGGGATTTGATGAACAGAAAGAATATCTGTGTGCCTAGGGTATGAAAATCAATGGCTGGATGAGGTTGAGAGTAAGGCTGCAGAGGTGAGCCTGAGCAATCTATATATACTTTTTCCTTTAAAAATTTTTTTTAAAAAATTTTACTTTAAGTTCTGGGATACTTGTGCAGAATGTGCAGGTTTGTTACGTAGGTATCCATGTGCTATGGTGGTTTGCTGCACCTATCAAGCTATTATCTAGGTTTTAAGCCCTGCATGCATTAGGTATTTGTCCTAATGCTCTCCCTCCCTTTGCCCCCCATCCACTGACAGGCCCCAGTGTGTGATGTTCCCCTCCCTGTGTCCACATGTTCTCATTGTTCAATTTCCATTTATGAGTGAGAACATGCATGTGGTGTTTGGTTTTCTGTTCCTGTGTTAGTCTGCTGAGAATGATGAGTCTGAGTAATATTATTCAGAGTCCAGTTACCTGCATTTGGACCTTATTCCAAGGGCATTCAGGAAACTATTTAACAGTCTTAAGTGGAGAAGCGAAATTATTGGATTTGTTTTTATGAAAGTATGGATACAAAGCAATGTATTATATTATTGAAGATTACTAAGAGTGTAGATTTTAAGTGTTCTTGTTTCCAGATAGGAGTCTTGATCCAGACCCCAAGAGAGGGTTCTTGGATCTTATGCAAGAAAGAATTCAGGGCAAGTCCGTAAAGTGAAAGCAAGTTTATTAAGAAAGTGAAGGAATAAAAGGA